ATGGTTGTTGTAATTGTTAGGTAAGTAAGTTGTTTTTTAATGGATAATAAGTCTCTTTTCTATTAAGAACTAGAAAGGAATATTTTTATACTATAACAGTATTTTATCCATATTGTTCTGGAAATATTTGGTTGATGTCAATATGGTTGTTAACATTCAACATGACTTTTCTAAAATCAAACAAGTTGATAGTAAAGGTACCCAAACAAATGAAAGGTCTAACATTTACGAAGGCGAAATGGAAGGGAAGAGAGAGAAAGGAAGAGAAGAGAAAGAGGGAGAGAGAGAAACATAGAAAAAAGAGAAGAGAGAGAAAGAGAAAAACAATATATAAAAACCTTGGTGAAATTTTGGTTATCATCTATAATTATTAAGGTAAAGAAAGAAGACATTTATCATTCTATTTACTTTATGATGGTTGAGTGAGGTGTCATTAACCTTATTTTATTTATTTTTTTATCTCCAATCATATACGGATCATCTTTTGTAATTATTTGTTTATCCCCAGATTTTGCATAGGGACAAAACTGACGGGCCCAGCAAGTCGGCTCGTCAGCCCGCTTAAAATATGACAGGGTAGGTTGATAGTTTTAGCCTGTCAACCCATTTTGCTTCCCCCAACCCTCGCCTAGCTTGCCAATTTGGCGAACCAAGGGTGGAATGGGGTGGACTGACTCACTTAAAAAAATATTTATATATTAAATTAAAATAAGAAATATTATAATGAATTATTTTAACACATAAATACAATTTTTTTTTCAATTTATCTAATAAAATAAAAACTTAAAAATTATTTATATAATTCAAGATATATTTTAAAAAATACATATAAAAGAATTTTATATAAAAAAAGTTATTGGCGGATTGGGGTTTATAGCCTGTCTTGATTATGGCGGGTCAGTTCATGATATGAATCTCAATAGCACAAGGGATGATTTAAGATCTTTAGTGTTAAAACCTTCTAGGAATTTAGTGATAAGATGGAAGAAATTAATCACTCTTCCTAAGGGAAACAACTCACAAAGGATGTGAAAGTTCTTTTATACAGTCAAGTGTTCTTGAATCACTCAAGAATTTAAGATAATCACTCTCACAAAGATAAAAGAGTTAAACTCTAATATTTTTAAATAAAATTCAACTTGTTATATTAGATAAAAATATGGTTCAGCCTATATAGAAGTTTTGCCATCAGAATTACAAAGATTCAATAAAGGAAAATAAATGCTAATAATGATTCATTAATCTAGAAATTGAAAACTACTTAATTGAGAAAAATAAAGACTAATAATGATCTATTAACCTAGAAATTGATACTACTTAATGACTGATTGTAACTGAAATTGTGGCAACCAAAAATTAATCATCTATGCACCCTTTTGATCTCCCAAAGACTGATGACTAAGTTTCCAATTGGGCGCTTATTACAACTTGCAATAAAATCAAACTAAAGTCCATTAATTGATTAATCCAAAACACAATTTGGTCAACCAACAATACTTGTTGAAGAACGTCCTTTGCTTCCCTTGCTCTAGCCCTTGTCATAGGTCATGTCCACATCATTCTCTCCCTCTTGAAAAGGATTTGTCCTCAAATTAGATTCGTCATCTATATAAAAAAGAGATAAGTCTAACAAATTGAATGTAGAACTAACATTATACTCACTTTTTGCGGCTATATAGCTCTTTCTTACTTCAAGTGTTTCACTCTTCTTTTGATCGCTCTTTTTCTTCTCAAGTATTTCACTAACGCTTTTTTTTTTCTCTCTCCTCTTGAAGAAGTTTTTCTCTTATTTTCTTTTTATCCTCACACACTTCTTGTGGACTCAAAGTTTGAGCATAATCTTCTTGTCTTGGTGCATGAAAGAGATCTTGTTGGTGAACCCGTTATAATGGACTCTTTTATCAAATTGCCACGATCTCCCCAAAAGTAAGTGACTGGCCTCCATAGGAACAACATCACAAAGTACTTTAATCTTCTTCAATCTTTGCTTGAATCATGAGCATGTCCATTTCCTTGAAATACTCCCCAACCCCCTTGTTGCATTGAGTAAGTTTTTTGGAGTTTAAATTTCAAGTCTCTTGAATAACTAGCCGACACATATGGTTTCATCATGATCCTTTTCATCTCAGTCCGTGTATCAACCATTGGCTCTTTATTTCTACCTCTTTCTTTTTATAGCTTGTTCCACCAAACAAGAGCATAGTCAGAAAATTTTGTGATTGCAAACATCACCTTTTGAGTCTCCTCATAATTGTTGCATGAAAAAACATGCTTTATTTTCATCTTCCACTCCAAGTATGCCTCTAGATCACTTTTTTCTTTGAATGGAGGAATGCTAAGCTTGACTTCTTCAAGCGTACTTGGTTTTGCTACTCCATCATTCATTCTCCTATTTTTACTTTCTTCTTCATCTTCGGGATCTCTATTCTCCAACCGGTTCAATCTTTCATGGAGTTCATTGTTATATTGTATCATTAATCCTTCCAAATGTTGTACCAAAGTCCTCATTTGAAATGGACTAATTCTTATTTCTTGATTGTAATTTTCCTCCGCTGCCATCAATTTGATGTTCAAACCCTTAAATCGGGGTTCTGATACCAACTGATATAAATCTCAGTAGCATAAGGGATGATTTAGAATCTTTAGGGTTAGAACCTTATAGAAAATTTAGGAATTTAGCGATAAGGTGGAAGGAAAGAATCACTCTTCCCAAGGGAGACAACTCATAAAGGATGTGAAAGTCTTTTGATACAACCAAGTGTTCTTGAATCACTCAAGAATTTAGGAGAATCATTATCACTAAGATAAAAGAGCTAAACTTTAATATTTTTAAATAAAATTTAACTTGTTATATTTGATAAAAATATGGTTCAGCTGATATAGAAACTTTGTCATCAGAATTACAAAGATTCAATAAAGGAAAATAAATGCTAATAATGATTCATTAACCTAGGAATTAAAAACTACTTAATGGAGACAAATAAAGACTAATAATGATCCATTAACCTAGGAATTTATACTACTTAATGACTGATTGTAACTGAAATTGTGGCAATCAAAAGTCAATCAGCTATGCACCCTCTTGGTCTCTCAAAGACTGATGACTAAGTTTCTAATTTGACCCTTATTACAACTTGTAATAAAACCAAATTAAAGTCCAATAATTGATTAATCCAAAACATAATTTGATCAACCAACAATACTTGTTGAAGAGCTTCCTTTGCCATAGGTCATGTCCACATCAGTCCACCTTGTCTTGTTTTTTGTGGGCTAGAGACGGGGCAGGTGAAAATAAAGTGGACTAATCCATTTTGTCATTCTTAGTTTTACGTTGGTCCTATTTTATTTATCTTCGATTTTGCACTAATCCTATTTTATATATTTATTTACCTCTAGTTATATACTTGTTTTCTTTTATATTTATATTTATCTCTAGTTACGCATTAATCCTTATTTATTTATTTATATTATTTAATTATTTTAAATTTTTTTAAGAAAATATTTATTTATGAAGACTTGATAACATTGTAAATGGAGGTTAGACATTGGAGATTGAAATTAGTAATTATCACATAAAGAGTAATTAAATTTGAGTTCATTTATCCTACGTAGTACTTGCAAAAATCAATTTAAATCTTCATAATATATAATAAATGAAATATGTTAATGAAGTTGAAAAAAATAATTTTTTATATCCTTTTGAGATTATATTATTTTACATGATTTTTTTTACTTTCTTATTTTACCTTTTATGCACGTTACAACAAAAATATCAACTTAAATAGGTAGAGGTGTCAAGGTGAAAGACAAATCTCATTGATAAATCAATCACTATTAAAAGAAAAATATTTGTCAATTTTAATAATTATTTTTTATATGGAAGCTTTGTAAACTTGTGGAATTCATATATTTATACGTATAAAAGTATAAACATTTATCTCATGTTTTATTTTTATGAAGATTTAATAAAAAATAATCATCTCTTAAAATATAATTAAAATAACACCTTGATAAAAATAGACATCAAATTAGATGGTATCAGATCAATGATTTATGTGTGACCTGTAAAATGAATCTATCAAACCATGAGAGATATTCAAATATTGCATCTAATAATCCTCGACATTAATTATTTTGAATTAATTATTTTGAATTAAATACGTGAGAATTACCCAATGGGAAGAACAATATAAAATTTTATTAAATAAATATAACGTAATTTTCATTTAAATATTTAAACTTTTCAATATAAAAAATAAAGATTTAATAAATTTTTACTATTTCACGTATATTTATTATTATATAAATTTTATTTTATTTTAATTATTTCAAAATATAATTTATTAAAATAATATATCAATTTATATTATTAATTTAAAAAAAAAATATATATATATATATATATATATTTAATGATTAACAATAATAATTTTATTATTAAATTTATTAAAAGATTTAATTTTAAAATAATAAAATAAAATAAAAATATGATTGATAAATTCGTCAATCATTTTTTAGCAGAATAAACCAAGACCTATAACTCAGTATAATAGACCAATACAAAATTGATTAATCCATTTTACCATCAGCACTTGGTATTTTGCAGTCAAATCATAATATTCCAATAAATTGATAGAGGATAAACAAATTAAGGTTTGAAAAAATGCCTTCACTGTTTGTCTCTCGAAAAACATATCAAAGAAGTGCAAAATATAATGGTTAATAGAAAGTAGCAACTCATGTACTCAAAAGTTCCATGAAGAAGTCATGAAAGACTAACATGACAAACAGAGAGTCACATTAGCAGCTCAAGTTAACCAGCCATTCACAAGTTGGAAACCTAAACGAATAAAAGAATGGGAGAATCATTTTCATAAACACAAAACTACTCCATAAATTACATTTTACAGGAATGGCAAAATCAATTTTAGAAAGAAAAACAACCCTCTGGATTTTTAGACATTTACAAATTGTAATTAACAATAACATAGAAAGAAATGTTACTGTGGTAAGGAAATGGTGGAAGTTGGATCAACCACAGTGGTTGTCGAGAACCCTTCACTCTCTCCGCCATCCAGCCCCGCCGCCCACCGCCTCAAAATCCTCAACAGCGTAGCCGCCTTCCGCCGCCCCCTGACACTCCCTACGGCCATGAGCTCCCAAATGACCCTCTCCACGCTGGGAATCGCCGCCAGCTCCGCCACAACCTCCGACCCCCCTTTCCGACACATGGTGACCAGCGTCGCCGCCGCACTCTCCCTTGCTCTCTCCGACCCCTCCCTGAGAACCGCCCCCAGCCTCTTAATTCCGGCGTACGCCGCCGCCACCGCCATCAGCCCACCCCTCTTGACCACCGCCTCCAGAATCGTCACCCCCTCCTCGGGCATCGCCGCCATGACCTCCGCCGCCATGTCCACCGCTCCTCCCTCCACCAGACGCGCTACCGTCTCCCTGTCCGCAGCGAGGTTGAGTATAGCCGCCAGCGCGTCCCGCCTCGCTCCCTCGGGCCCATTACGCGCCAAACCCACTAACCCGCTCACGAGACGCGTTTTCCTTCCCAGTCTCTTCCTGTGCGCAGGCACACTCGATAAACTAAACACCGTCGCCGCCGCGTTGGCCTTGGCCTCCCACGTGGCACCCGAAAGTAAAACCTCCGCAACGCCGTTTAATGCGCCGTCAGTCTCCATTATCCGCGTCTTGTTCGCTTCCAGAATAGACAAGTTCAAAATCGTCGTCACGGCGTTAACCTGTAGGCTCGGGTTTTCCATTCCCACGTCGAGAAACCGAACCAAAAGCGGAATGGCCCCTACTTCGGCTATACAGGCTCGGCTATCCGAATCTGTTTTCGCCAAAACCCGAAGCTCGTAAACGGCGCCGTTTGTATCTTCAACGGACAAAGGGACGTTGTCGTTTGACTTGAGCTTGTTCACCAAAAACGACACAGTCATTCGCGTGGCTTCTAACGCGGCCTTATTGGTTACTCCGCCATTTAGTTTCCCTGTAATCGTTTCCGCTTCGAAGGGGATTTTCTGCTCGCGGCACCACGTCGCTATCATGTTCCTCAGCGCGCGATTGGGGATTAGGTCGGTGTGTGATAGTGTTTGACCCGTTTTTGGACACGTGTTGTGTCCTGAATCCATCCACAGCTTGATCGATCCACGATCGTACGTCTGTCCCGTCGCCACCACGACAGGGTCGCGCATGAGCTCTAGGCTTATTGGACACCGGTAATCCGACGGAACTGCGAACTCCGACGACTGATTCCGCCGCAGAGTGACGCTTCTCGTCGACGGCGTTGACGCGCCGAAGAGAACGCACTTGGCGAAACGAACAAGGCCTATCAACGCTACGAGATCCGTCTTCGCTTGCTCCTCGCTCCGGTTGTGAATCTCCTCCTCCAAGTTCTCAATCTCCGCTCTGCAGCTCGACGCGTCGCGAATCTCCAGTTTCTCGAAAATCGACGAAAGATGCGCCTGATCAGGAACGATCTCGTTCTTGATCCGGTCGAGGACGGAAACGACGTCGTACCGGAGGTTAATCTGTTCTGTTCCGATGAACGGCCTGGATTCGGAGCACTGCTTTCTGATGAGGATAACAAGGTCCCGAACGTCGTCGGTTAGGTTGAGCTCCTGGAGAGGGAAAACGTCGAGGAGCGTGGAGAGTTCTGCAGTGAGCCTGTGGAAGGTGTCGGCGACGGTTTCGATTTGCATGAGCAAATTGAACTTGCTTCCGTTGGAGAAATCTTCAATCAAAGTTTTGATTTTGTGTAGAACGATGTACATTTCCTCGAGGCAAAGGAAGAGAGAGTGGGGGAACACAACGGAATCGGGATTGGCATTGGAACACCAAATTAGGTCCTCGAAGACGACACCGAGGAGCTGCGTTTTGCGGATGGTGGAACAGGAAGCGCGGTTCAGGAGAAAGTTGGCGGCGTTGTTAAGGTTTAAAGAACATATCTGATCCGTTAGTTGAAGCAGAGAGAAGAGAAGGTTAAAGTCGTTCAGCTTGGAAGTGTTAAACGACGCCCCGGGTCGTCGTTTTCGGGTTGTGAACGTTTCAGGAGAAATCGCCATGTTTGTTGTCAATACGTTGAGTAGCCAATTGAAGATAGTTAAAAGGTGCAGCTGAGGTTATGAAGGAAGAAGAAGACTTTTCATTGTAGATGACGGCACGAAAAATAAAATTTAATAATTGAAGCATTAAAAAAATATGATTATGTGTGAGCATATTTATTTATTTATTTATCCATAAGCCATTCAAGTTTTTGTTTTCTACGTGCCAATCTCGTTCAATCAACCAGAGAAGAATGGGTGGGGTGCTGGCATGAATAATATACAACTGTGGTGGGTGGTATTTGAATTTTGACTGCGTGTTATTTATCTGATATTTATGCACACGGAATTCTGGTGCACTCCTAATCTTTTCGGTTGACATACTATTATTATTATCATTACAATGTGGTCAAATTCATTCGATGATAAAGCGTGTGCCATAATGAAAGTATCAGCAGCCAATTTGTTCAAGTCCACATCATTATCATCATCATCCTTCGTTAGGGTCCGAGTTTGTGAGTTACAAGCAAAAGGAGGTAAACAGTTAAACTTTCATTCAAGTTGAAATTCAAATTTTCTGTTTATATGCGTATGTAATATTATTTGCATATTTTAGTATTATAGTTTTCTTGACTTTGTATGAACTGGTGGTAGGCACTGGACTTGATCAAGTTGGTGAGGCTGCAAATTGGTAAGGGTTGTTGTGGACTTAGCTGTTAATGATATATTATGGTCTTCCATGATTGTATTAAAATATTCATTGAACCAATCAATTACTTTGAGGATCACCCTTTGGTTTGGTATATATCCTATTTGGATTTAATATTAAGGAAAAATCCTCTACTTTAGTTTTGTTTTTGGTAAACTTTTTCTTTTTGAGTTTATCACGATAAAGTAAAGTACATAAAGGATACATACACCATATATGATTAGCAATAATGATTTAAACCCAGCTCAGAACCCTTTTTGCGAAATAGCCTGGAAATCTAGTGGAACCACAGCATCTAACTTTATCTTGATCAAAGACATGAAATAGCTAGAAGAATACGTGTCGTGCTAGTCTAAAGAGTTAATTACTTAATAATTAATTTTGTGAGATTAATGATGCAACAAGCTAAATTAAGCAAATATTTTTATTTGGGACATTCTTTACTGTCTTTAATAAGCATAAATGTTGGATTCGTGTGTCCTATGGTTTCATCAGCGATGTTGTTGAATTTTGTGCAGAGTGGAAAATTCCTGTTTGGGTTTTGACATTTTAGGAAGGTTTTAACAACTGTTCAATTCAACCGGAACAAAATCATATATCTTTCTTTAACCATATTACATCTAAATATTAGGATAAACTTTTCAAAAAGTAACTTTGAAAATAAAATAATATTTTAATGAGTTATTAATAAATAAATTTTAGTTAAAAATAACTTATAAAATTAGTTTTATATTTTATATTACAATAAACTCATAAAAAATGTTGAGAATTGTTATCCATGTTTGGGGGGCACACAATCTAAGGTTTTGGTTTACTAACTCCATTTTTTTAGCCGCCAAATTTGGAAGACATCAATGGATTAAATAATGACTTTGATAAGCACGTAATTAACATCACCAAGTAATTGGATAAGACTTTCATTTCGTTTTCACAAATTATCATCTAAATTTTGACTTTTTTAATTTCCTCCATTTAGAATCTCTTCAGTTTCACTTTTACACTTTATTTTTGGCCCCATTCACAGAGAACGATCCCAATTTTGATACTGTTTTATTAGGCGTGGAACGTTTGAAGACATGGTTGGTTGGTGGATTTCTGTGGGCTGTGTCTTTCACAAGCAAAGGGTTCGTGTTCATGTATTTGGTCACTGTGACAGTGGCAAACTGTTTTGTATTCTCCTTCCGTTTTTGTTGCCCATAGTTTGAGTATAACTTCAAACAAATTCATGGTAGTTCTAGATTTATATATAAGTATTTGATAGAAAACTATTATTTATATAACCCTCAATCTTTCATAATAATTATTAAAAATAAAAAGAAAACATAATTGAATTTACAATTATATGAGTGATGTAATTTGATGCTTATTTTCTGGAGAAAATTCTTTTATTAAAAATATATATGTCTCTTTTAAATAATGAATATCATAATAGAAAAATCATAATATGATTAGTGAATCTAACTCATTTATAGATAAAAATAAAAGATTATTTTTTTGCTATTTTTATTTTTATCATCCCTAAAGTAAAATTATTATTTAGTTCACACATATTAAAGATCTTGTATCATTTTAGATATAATTTTTAATATAATTTATAAAATATTTGATTTTTTTTTAATTTGACATAATTTTAAGTATCATGATGTATAATATGTATAAGAACGATGATTAAAGATCTAATATATGGATAAATAATAATTATATTAATTAGATTTGTTATTAAGAGACAGTCAAATAAATAAATAATAATAAATGGATAAAATAAAAATAGCTTCTAATGATAATATGAAAATAAATACTTTATATATATCACCTATCAAGAAGTAATATAGAATTAAGAATCAAGAAACCCTATTTCATATTATTTAATCATTAAAATATAAGAATACTTATAAAGAATGATAATTTATTTGAAATGGTGAAGTTATTTTATTTTAAATTAATAATAACTTATATAAATACTTATAAAGAATGTTAAATTATATATATATATATATATATATATATATTATTTATGAAATTATTGAAATGAGTATAATCATAATTTACGTGCATCATTATATTTAAAAATACTAGGTAATTTAAATTTATATATATTTTAATTTTTATTAATATTATACTTATATCAGTATTATTATGTTTCTCCAGTATGTGTTGATGTATGACGAAAAAAAATCAATATATTATAATTATTGTTTAAATATATTATATGTATAATATACATGAGTAATTTTTAAATTATCTTTAATTATATTTAAAAAGAACGTGTATAAATACAAAGAAAAAATGTTTTTTAAATAATAACATTAGATATGAATAATGTAATTAAGCTAATCCGATTCATCAGGTGGATTGACTCATAATTTGTGGTTCACTTTTACAATTATAGTTAGTGGAAACATGCTAACAATATTTTTCTTTTGTTAAAAATCAACATTTGTGTTTTACATGAATGGATTTAGTAAAAGAAAACTCAAAGCTCTCTAAATTTGCATTATATAATTTAATTTTTATACTTATTAAACTAACTTAAATATAAGACAAAATAAATTAATCCTATATTGAATAACAAATATTTAAGCTTATTTAATATTTTTATTTCATAAAATAAAGAAGTTTTTTTTTTAAATTACCTCCATTATATTTAACAAGGATTTGCATAAATTTAAAAATAAAAATATTTTTAAAATAATAACATGATGTAATTAAATTTTGTTTATATTCAAGTTCATAAAGCATAACTCAATTTAACTTATATATTTGAGTTGGAAGGAAATGTATTAATTTTAAGTATGTGACTATTTTATTTTGATTAAAATTTTTATAATAATCTAGTAGTGGATGATTTGATAAATCTAGTAACAATTATTAAGATTGATTATAATATTAATTTATATTTTGCACAAATTGCATTAATTATTTTTATATTAAAATATCCAAAATCAAGATTAAGGAGAAATTGTATTAACAAATAGAGATAAAAGTAATACTTTTAAAATAAAAATTTAAAACTATATTCTTCCGTAAGGTCAAACTTTCGAGTCTCTTCCCTTCCCTTCATTTGAGATAGGTCAACAGATGTATGATCCAATCAAATTCAAACGACTATAAAACATGGTCACAATCACAAATAACCAACTTGAATCACGTGTGTTGTACATTTATGAGTTCAAAAAATGTAAGCAGATCCAAAATGCATGTGAATATCAAGGGTTTAATAATTTCTATTGTATTCCGTTTAAGGAATGATAGTGTCACCATATAATTTTTTTTTATGATAATATCGTTATGTTTAATTTTTTTTTTTTGAGATATTGTTTATTTTAAAACTTTTATTCATTGTGGTTTTAACCTTTGAAAAGACATATTAATAGATTAAGGGAGAAGCAGTGGTGACTCTTGACCATTGATCTTGGAGAGCCAAATAATATATTATTAATAAATAATAAATAAATATAAAAGGAAGAAAGAATATGAAAGGTTTAAAAGATAAAATTGTAGATATATACTTAAATATATTAAATGATCATTAAGTTTGAGAAAAATAAAATCATAAATTATATGAGAGTTACAAAACTGAGGAGAGGCTGGGAGGATAAAATTGTAAATATACAAGTAAATATATTAAATGTTCATTATGTTTGGGGGGGTCAAAATCATAAATTACATGGGAGTTACAAAATTTTGGGGGGGTCACGGCCCCCCTCAGCTCCCAAGAAGATCCATCACTGGGGAGAAGGGTGTATATAAATTACCCTTGATCTCGATTCCTATGCGATGCGGGAAGAACAAGACTCTACTCTCGGCCCCACAATGAGCGTCAATGTTCCGTTTAAGGAACGAGAGTGTTCCGACGTCATATTCGCTACGATAATATTATTAGGGTCAATTCTCATGTCAAGGTATTATCCACTTTATAACTCTTGTCCGTCATGTATTTGTCCTTAAAAAGTGCATTTTAAGGATAAAATTGTGACGGATAAAAACTCTAAAACGGATAATACCTTATATATAAAAATTGATTTTAACATGATGGCAGACATGATGGGGAACATTCTCATTTCTTAAACAAAACATATATGTATTTTGTATTATTGGCACTACTGCAAAAAAGGCTTTTTACATCGGTTAAAATGGGCTTTCGACGTCGGTTAAAGCGGCGACATAGATACGGGGGTCATAGAAAGTAAGACTTTCTACGTCGGTTCCTACTAACCGACGTAGAAAGTAAGACTTTCTACGTCGGTTAATAGGAACCGACGTAGAAAGACCTACTTTCTTTGAGCTATTATGATCGGTCAAAATGGTTATG